TAGGGACTAAGTCAATGCGTGTTTTGTCTATATATTTAAGTCTGCGAAATTTTGCCTTTAAAATACCAAATGCTTGTTCAATAACTACACGCGTTGAGCTGTGTACATAATTGTAATGTTTTTCTTGTGGAGATAAATGACCATTGTCTCTAAAAGGTGTCAATAAATTAACTGTACATGGATAAGCAGAATCACCAAGTAAATGGTAATCTGAGGGTATAAAGTTAGGATCATTTGCTAATCTTTGACCAAGAGGACTGATGCGAAATACACGAGCATCATGTGTAGAACCTGCTCGATCTGCAAATACATCCAAAAATACTTTATTTGAATTACAGACTGCTTGGAGAATAATAGACGGATCACCTTTGCGATTGACAAAAGCATTCCTACCATTCATTGGAGGTTTGCAGTGTATATATGTACCATCTATGGCACCTATAACTCCTGGAAAGTGTCTTTTTGATTCAAAATCATTTGCAATTGACTTGTATTGATGAGATTCTGGCCATTGTATGAAATCGTGCTGATGTGATGCAATTGCCTTAATAGTAGCAGAAATTATATAATGAGCAGTACTTTTCCATACCCCAAATCTGTCCGCAATTTGTCTGAAAATATAACATTAATTCTTTATATTAAAATCAAAACGCTTTAGAAACTAAATTAATTACTTATTATTTACCTATAACTTTCTTGATTGGCAAGATACCATACAGTTATGAGAATTTTTTTAATAACTGGGATTGTTGTTAAATTCTTCCCTACGCCATCTGTTTCAGAAGTTTGAAGATCGTCTTGAACAAATTCTAGAAGTTTCTATGGATAATTTTTTAAATTAGATAATATTTAGAATATAGCTAAAGTAGTAATTAAAACTGAAACTTACTTGGATTGAATGTCTACTCATTCTAAAATGACTTCGGAATGTGAAATCATCATACGTTGGTATAGTAGATTTCGAATACATTTTAACGGACGATAATAGTCCATTTCTTTGATTAAAATTAATAATTACTTCATTCATTTCGTCAAGATCTGACGTACCTTCCATTTGAATAATTGTATTCGTTATTTCATCGGTTTCGGCTAGTTCGTTTGCGACAATTGTTGCAATAATAATTTTCACTTCGTCCGCCATTTTACCTAGCTGTCTAACAAAGAATAGTCGTTCAATGATGCTCACTTGTCACAAGGTCTTAGTCAGAACATTCTTAGCTCTGCTTACTAAGCCACTCAGAATTCTTAGTTGTTCTGCGTTACTGAACACGGCCCAGATGATTATTCAGAAATCAGAATTTGGAGAAACTTGTAAGTGTAATTGACAGAGAGTGGATTTGACTGTTAAGAATTGGCAAAATAGATTCTCGACTGTCCAGCTTTACATTTACAAATTATGTCGTCGATTTTAAAGATTTTTCCTTAAAGTTTAAAATGCTAGTAATTTTTACGGGACAATGTGTGCATTTACGTGCATTTGATAATATTTTATTTGTGATTAAATGAAATAAAATTAGAATTGTATTAATATATCTAATTTTCTTTATTTTGATCTTTAAACTTACATCTTGTTCTATATGCAAAATCATCTTATGTTCAAGTAAATACAGTACATTGAATATATAACACATTTTTTGAACATATTTTTTTATGATTAATATATTAATGTATTCATCATAGAGATTAATTAAATAAATGTTAGCATAAAAATTTGTTATTTAAACAAAATTTTTTTATCAGAAAATAAATAGTATAAGTTAACATACAGATTGAATTACTTGTATTTCAAGTTATTAATGTTTTGGCTAAAAGATATCTTTGTAAATTGTTTTTGTTTTATCATATATTTTAAAAGTTTAGTTACAATAAATGTAAATGCTTAAATAAAAGCTTTATAAAATTAAAATTAAATAAAGCTATATTGCCCTCACTTAATGACATTGACTAGCTGACTTATTAACTCATTAATATGAAATGTTTCAGTCGAAACAAACTTCTTTTAGAAAAATGAAACAGTGCATAATATAATCAATATTTCTGTTTTTCTCATAATATAATTAATATTTCTGTTCATATGAACAGAAATCTGTTGATCAGAAATCATATGAACATAAATATTGATTATATTATGAGAAAAACTGAAATTCAAAAAGTCAAATATTTTAGGTCCTATGAGATATCAAAGGTCAACCTCCAATGTCTCATATTGTGTTATAATGTTAATTGGATGATTACGTGCCACCTACCTATTTTTTAATTTGTTCTAGATTATTTTAATAATGACATTTTCGTTTTGTATTACTACCATTAATTATTTTTTATTAGATTTTAATATAAATAATTTTAATTATTTAATTTTTTTAAACGATATTATTTATATGAAGTGTTTCTGAAATAGTGGGACAAACTTCAGTAGATGATTCTTTACAGGAAAATAAAGAAAAAAACATATAAACATGTGTCTAGAAATGAGGAGTTTTTGAGAAATCAAATGCTTTATGATAGTGTCAGGTGGATGATGGATTTTATTATATAACTCTCTTATTAATGTTTTTATTTAATTTTTGACTAAAGTGACAGCAGCTCACTTTGTCAACATGCACATCCTGAACTAAGTCAAACCTATAATATATGTACAGGTGAATAGGCAGACTGGGTAAGGTGGGTTGGCCTCCATGTTTCCCCACTCTGAATCTTTTGGATTTTTATCTGCTATATGATATGCTAGGAAGATGTTATAGCTGCTTTAGTAAGAATTGAAAGACATGTGACAGTGGTAACCAATAGTAGGAATGAGAGGTCACATCATGCCCAATCCATCAATCTAGTATGGTATTGCATAGTTCATATTTTTTTTAGTAAATTGTAACTTTTAGATGAATCAATATTGTATTGAATTGAATCAACTATTGATATATTTTCACTATAAATTCAGATGTTATTATCTGTTCCTTATTTAAACATTGAATAATAAATACAAATAGATACAGTTTAAGCTTATTTATTGTTAACTTTATGTAAGAGTGGAAGAAATGGCTTACAGTAATTTCAAAAAACATTCTTTACAAAAATTTTCTCAGATCTCCTAATTCTGTTTGAAATTCTTCTTTGTTCTCAAATTCTATTATGACATTTATGACCTACATAGTCTAAACAATCAAACACCTTATTTGGAAGAATGTCACATTCATCTTTTACCAAAATAAGTTTAGTGTATGCTGCTCCCATTGACAATGCAGAAATACTTATGTAATGCATTGTTTATATCTGCACCACCATATACAGGAGGCCTGGAAACTCCAAAGAGCACAGAAGCCTATGCTCTAGTAGATTCACACATACATAGACACATGGAAGGTATTTTCGACATTTGTTATGTAAGATTAAGTAATAAAATCTGTCTTGCACCTGACATGGTCATAAGAGGTTTGATTTCTTGAAAAGCTCATTTCCAAACATATGTTTATATGCTTTTTTCTTTATTTTCCCATGAGGAATCATTCCCAAAGTTTGTCCCACTGTTTTAATACCTTGTAAATACAAAACTAATATTGTTTAAAACTCATTATAAATTATAACACTGGTAAGATTATCACAAAGTTATGTGAAATGTTGAGATTGGACTGCCAAAGTTGGTCAGAGACGGAGCACCTAGTAACTAGTAACTATATATATATATATATATACAGCATTATTACTAAGTGCTTTTCCCTTAGTATATACATACTTTATTAACTAAATATTTGATACATCTTAATATTTTTTTATATTCTAATTTTTATGGAGTGGTAATCTAAATTTTATCTCAAAATTTTATAGGGAGAAGATCCTTCATCTTTTGATGGAAATAATGCATCATGTTTTGATTACATAAAAAGTTTGTCTGATGATTTTGTTTATCAACCTACATCAAATGAAATGAACTCTAAGTCTCAATGTAAAGTACATAAAGATTATACTGTAACTCCACTTACTTTAAATCTTTATGATGATTCTGATTTTTGCAAATTCCCTGAAATGGATAAAAAATTCTCAATAAATGAACAGAAAACTTATCATCAGTATCAAAACATTTTAGGCACTTACTCTGATATGAATAGAGATCAACATAAATGCTGTTCTACAAATGAAAAAAATCCAATAATTAATTCACTAGATTTCATTGAAAATATGAAATGTACCAATTGCCAAAAATATGCTGAAATATTACATAGTATGTGTTCTGAATGTAAAAAGAAAATTTCTGTGATTCTGTGCAAAGATTGTTATAATTCTCAACAGTTTAATGAAGAAGGTATGCTATTAATTTTTTTGTTTTATGGTTATCTTATTCAATCTTAAAATAAAGTTCCAAGCCAAAAATAACTATATTAATTGGAATAAGATGCATTTTCACTGATTACAAGTAAAATAATATATTGAGTAAGTTATACAAGTATCTAAATGAGAAAAGTTATTAATTACATAGATTTATTAATCTTCTAAGTATGAAATATTAATTTGTAACCTAATCAAATCGTAACAATAATTAATTTAACTAGATTATCTATCACCTTATAAAATAATTTTCATGTTTAGAAAGATTAATAAATTTAAATAATGACTTTTCTTATTTATATATTTTTATAATTAAATTATTTAACATACTGTATTATTTTTTATATGCAAGTAGTGTCCAACTTATAAAGATATTCTCTTTCAGAACTCCTGTCGTAAGTCATATTGGTCATAAATTGAGCATAAAAAATAATGGTGATAATGGGATGTGATTCCCAAGATCATAAATAAGTGTAGTACATATTGTATATCTACTATGTTTCAATTAGTTAATATGTGTACTGTACATACAGTACAATACTATATAATACAATAATTCAACACAATGCAGTACAATGACAGTATTTATGTATACTGTGAATTACACTGATGTTTAATATTTTAATTAATTACAGTATTTTATTAAAACAATTCATGAACACATGCAGGTAGTCAACCATATTCAAAAGAATCAAAAATCAAACAGTATTGTAATTTTCATATGGAATTGATTTTATTTTTATGTTAATTTTAATTAATTTAATTTATTAGGGCTGTTCATAAATTACATCCACGTTTGTCTTGAAATTTTTACCTCCCTCTTCCCCTTTGTCCAGTTTGTCCGAGTTTCCTTAATCCCCTCCCCTCTTTGGACATCCAACAAAACTCAACCCCTTCTCAAAATCTTTACACTTTATGAATAATAAAATGGATAAACTGTATAAAATCTAATGAAATAAAACAGATATCCATTGAAGTTCAACTCTTCCCGTTCCCCTTATCCAACTTGTAACCCCCTTCCTCCTTTCCAATGTTGATGTAATTTATGGACAGCCCTTTATTAATGCATTTTAACCTTATAAAATTAAAATTAGAATGTTAATCCAGAGAAACTGTGTGTGTTTGTGTGCATATATATAATTCAGTTATTAGCCAATCAATAAAAACAATTTTGAATATTCTGAAAAATTGCAAACTAATTTTAATTGAATAAAATAACATAATAAAATTTTTTAAGATTCATTATTTTAGTGATTTTTTAATTGTATCCAACACTAAAATACTGGTATATTCATAAGATTTTTTGAAATATAAATTGATTTTTTTATGGATCTTACAAAATGAGTTTTATTTACTGTACATGCAAAAACATAGTTAAATTATTGAAATGTTTTTATTATTAATGTCTTGTAGCAAAAATCTAATAAGCAAAACATTATTGTAGATCAAAGAATAGCAGATTATATTCAGTTACATAGTAAAACATCAAGGTAAAAGGATTTAACTATTCAACTATAGTTTATTTATATTATTTTAATGTATTTAAATAATTTTTCTTTTGCAGTGAAGNAATTTTAAAATTTAAATGTGTCAGTGATAAACCTATATGTAAAATACTACAATCAATATAGTAACAACTTTCATAAAAATATAAGTACTATAGCTTTTTGCATCCATTTGTTATTAGTAAAGAAATATTTTTCTAATAACATTTCATCAATATATAAAAGCTTTATTGTATATTCTGTTCAATTAATTAAAATTGTAGTCTAAAATAAAAACTTTCTCATTATAGATATGTGTTCTTCAGATGCAAAGTTTCTTTCTGCATACTTGCAGAGAGAATAATAATAGATGTATAGATAATAATAAAGAAAATAAAGAAATAGGTTCAAATCATGAAAATCTTAGTTCCAACCAACTTTCTGATAATATAGGATTAAGTGAAAGAAATGAAATAATTCCTAAAGATGAGGCAAACTCGAAAGGTATAATATAGTTTTCATTATTTAGTATAATGTTATTATTATTCTATAATTACTGTTCAATAAATTTTCANTATACTGTATTTTGGACCATTTTTGCAGTCCCCACCTATTGAAAGAATATAAATTATCGAAAATTCAATGATATATTTGAGTGTTTATGGTAACTGATGCATATCTGTCTAGATACCGGTCTTCCAATGAAACTTTCATGGGAATAACACGTCATCGTGGACAAACAGCTGTTTTCAAGGACATTTAGCTCTGTACACCAAACTGTGGCGTGTATTACGTGATCCGTTGCGATTTTTCTGTTATGTGAAAGATAATTCATTTCTAAATATCGTAAACCGCATTGTAAGAAAATTTCTGCTTTTTCCAACCACGTTGGAGCAAAAACGCATTGTAAAGGTACCGCATTGTAGGAGGCCTACCTGTAATTAGAATTTCTAGATGACTAATTTTGTTCTTGTTAAATAATAATATGGAAAAAAACATAATAAAGAAACAGTTATCAAATAATTTTATTATATTAATTAAATAGTTTTAATGAAAATTGTTTAGTCAATTGATTTTATTGGGTTGAACCAAAAGTTCGTTCAGTTTTAGAAAGAAATAAAATACAGTGGTACCTCAGGATACGAAATTAATCCATTCCGAAACTGAGATCATATCATGAAAATGTCGTAAGGTGGATCATCTTTTTCCATACGATTACATGTAAAACCAAATAATTCGTTCCAACGCAAAAAACATACTCAAATTAAAGCCAAGTAATACATTAAAAAAA